ACACACACATATATAATGGGATTTTGAAATACACACTGTCCAACTTCCAAATTTGTTTTTAATGACAATACACAGTTATATTCTCATTGTAAAATAAAGCCAACTTTTTCTTCTCTTTGTCTTTTAAATTTATTTATTTATTTAGAGACAGGGTCTCACTCTGTTACCCAGGCTGGAAGGTAGTGGTGTGATCACGGCTCACTGCAGCCTCAACTTCCTGTGGCTCCAAGGAGCCTCCCACCTCAGCCTCCTAAGTAGCTGGGACCACGGGTGCATGTCACCACACCCAGCTAATTTTTTTGAGGGGGTAGAGAAGGGGTTTCACCATGTTTCCAAGGCTAGTCTCGAACTCCTGAGTTCAAGGGATCCACCTGCCTCAGTCTCCTAAAGTGCTGGAATTACAAGTGTGGAATTAGGCTAGATTGGCTTTTTATAAAATCAAGTTAAATTGTATATACAGTGAAATGCACTATATATATTTTTTTTTGTTTTGAGACAAGGTCTTGCTCTGTCACCCAGGCTGGAATGCAGTGGTGTGATCATAGCTCACTGCAGCCTCCAACTCCTGGACTCAAGCAGTCCTCCTGCCTCAGATTCCCAAGTAGTAGCCAGTGGTTTGTGCCACCATGCCTGGCTAATTTTTTATTTTTGTGGAGACTGGGTTTCACTAGGTTGCCCAGGCTGGTCTTGAACTCCTGGCCTCAAGCAATCCACCTGCCTCGGCCTCTCAAAGTGTTGGGATTGCAGCATGAGCTACTGCGCCTGGCCCAAAATGTGCAAGTCAAGGAGTTTTGGTAAATGTGTACACTCCTAGGACAATCATCATCTGATTCTTCAGTACAGAGGGGTATTGCCTCTAAACCACTCTGTCATCATAAGACCATAGGCAATGTCCTCTCCCTCTTAAAGCATCAGTGTTCTGATTTATAAAATATACCCAGAATCTACTCACCACCTCTCGGGCCACCACCATGCTCCAATCGATCATCGTCTCTCACCCGAATCATTGCCATTGGATCCTCACTAGTCTTGCTGATTCTGCCATCCACAGCCTGTTGTGAATAAGCCAGCCAAAGATATTCTTACTGAATTAAGGTTAGATCATGTCATTTTTCTGTTTAAACCCTTTCAGTGGCTTCTTGCTTCATTTAGAATGAAAGCTGAAGTCCTTATGATCATCTACAAGGGTCCCTGCCATCTGACCCTGCTTTCCCTCTGCCCTCATCTCTTCCTACTCACACTCTGGATTACTCTGCTTCACCTTCACTGGCCTCCATGCCATCCTTGGATATGACTGTGACCAGACTCAGCCTTGGCAAAGTCATCTGGTTTCAGGCAACACAAACAGACTCAAATTAGCTTAAGTGGAATCAAGAAATTATTAAATGAATGCAGGCAGGGATCTTTTTACAGAATCCAAAAAAACACAAAGAGGGCCTCAGGAGAATGGGAGCCAGGAAAGGTCTAGGTCTCTCAGGAGGAGGATTTTGTGGTCTTTATTTTTATTTTTTACTTGAGACAGAGTCTGGCTCTGTCACCCAGGCTGGAGTGCAGCGGTATGATCTTGGCTCACTACAACCTCCGCCTCCCTGGCACAATTGACCCTCCCACCCTTAGCCTCTGGAGTAGCTGGGAACACAGGCATGCACCACCACACCCTGCTAAATTTTGTGGGTTTTGTAGAGATGGAGGCCTTTCTATGTTGCTCAGGCTGATCTTGAACTCCTGGGCTCAAGCAATCTGCCCACGTTAGCCTCCCAAAGTGCTGGGATTATGGGTATAAGTCACTGTGCCTAGTAGAGGATTTTGTGGGCTTTCTTGAGTTTTCAAAGTTGTCTTAGTCTCAGTGGGTCCCGAAGATGAATTTAATTGACCACTGGCCTGTCAATGAGCTAGCTTCTTTGGAGTGGGTATATTCATTTCTGGTCCAATCAGCTAACACCATGAGGGTAGGCACTGGTAAAACAACTATGACTGAAGAGGTTCACCACTACTGGTAAATGAGAAATTCTCAGATCATGTGGCTGTTAGTGAGGAAGAAACTTTAAAACAAGTGAACCAACATTTCCCTTTGTTTTCAGTAAAAACACTTCTGGTCCACTTAAGAAAAAGCAATATTAGATGAGACTTACATTGTCCCCTAAATACTAAGATTTTACGCTTGCTTGTCAAGAGCAATGATGTAGAAGCCATTTGCTTTTCTGCAAACATGGTTTTCCTTTGAAGAACCATTCAATACTACCCACACCCCCCAACCGCATTCATGTGGTTCAACTTACATTGACGCCCATCACTGGCTCTGGCAAATCAGCTTATTTTGTCACTCAGGTTACAGTCTTTTTTTTTTTGAGATGGAGTCTCACTCTCATCCAGGCTGGAATGCAGTGGTGCGATCTCGGCTCACTGAAACCTCTGCCTCCCAGGTTCAAGCGAGTCTTCTGCCTCAGCCTACCAAGTAGCTGGGGTTACATGTGCATACCACCACACCTGGCTAATTTTTTTTTTTCTTTAGTAGAAGCAAGGTTTCACCATGTTGGCCAGGCTGGTCTTGAACTCCTGACTTCAGGTGATCCGCCTACTTTGGCCTCCCAAAGTGCTGGGATTACAGGCATAAGCAACCATACCTTGCCTTCAGGTTACAGTCTTTTGCTCAGGAGAGGACACAGACCCCAATTCAATCTAGTGAGTGTCACACCCACCCAAGATTTTGTCTGAAAGATTGCAGGAAGGAGGATGTCTCTTTCTCTGGGACTTCTAGCAGAAAGGACTGTGTAATCCAAGGACTATGGAGGTATCACGTGGGGCATTAGAGTGAAATCAACACAAAGAAATGCAAAGCCCAGAGATGGAGGTGGCTCCAGTGCTGACAATAAATTGCAGGTCTCTGGACCCAATACTACCTAACGCAGGGTCTACCTCCTGGAATTCTTAGTCATATGAGCCAATAAACTTACTATTGTGTTTAGGACATTTTGAGTTCAGTTTATCTCGCTCAAAACCAGAAATGTCCCAACTAATATAGAGAATAAAAATCCTATCTTCCCACTTGGATATGGTGATGCCTTCTTCTGTTTCTTAAAGTGAGTGTATTTCATATCTAGTCCCAGATGATTTGTATTTACAAATCCGGGGAACATTTTTATATGCCAAGTGACAATAGGGAGGGCCCTAGCTACTTCAAGAGATAACGGGTTAATTAGAACTCTGAGAGGGAAAATCTCCGCTCATTCAACCTCTGCCTCCCGGGTTCAAGCAATTATCATGCCTCAGCCTCCCAAAGTGCTGGGATTACAGGTGTGAGTCACTGTGGCCCAGTCAGCTATCTCAATAAGACCCAAAGTTTACCAAACTATCTTCATAGGACCTAAGGCTAATATGAGTCAAGTGTGGGGTCAGTGGGACTCACATTTCCAGGCTCACATTTATATCATGTAGTAGGGTTGCAGGATTCCAAGAAGCAATCAGCAAGGAAAGTATTCCTTGCTGGGCCGATGAAGGGTGGTGGCATTCTAGAAGACAATTCTTGTTTGTTAATTGAACCCTAATTCAATGACCTGGATACTATTTCTGTGTATAGTCTTAGCTTAAGCCAATAACATCAATTGTTGAAATAGTAGAGAAATATAAACTTGGCTACATTCATTTTCTAGGACCTTTTTCCCCCAAAGGGTATACATATGTTTCTGGCAAAAGTTAGCACAATTTTTCTAGTGTAGGAAACATTTTTTTTTTGGAGACAAGGTTTCACTCCCACTACTCAGAAGCCTCCAGAGTAGCTGGATTAAAGGTGCAAGCCACTATGCCTGGTTGTTTCAACTTCTAGTTGAACACTGTGATTAGAAGAATGGGATGCATTGATTGGCTCAGGCTTGGATTATATGCTCCATCTCTGAGTAGATTCAGCTTCACCCAAAACACAAGGGCTGAGAATGGGTAAAAAGTGGTTCTTTCCAAGCAAAATCAGAATAAATTCTGGGTTGCAAAAACATCTCATATTGCATAATTTCTCTACTGTTGCCTTCTTTGGCACTTGCAACTGATAATTGTCTTAGTGAAACACTCTTCTCTTGGCTTCTCCACTGCATTACTTTCTCTGAAATTCTATTTATACTCCTTTGGAACGTTTTTGCAATACTTCTGTAGAGTTTCTGGTCCTTAGAGTATCAGTGCTGGGGTTCAGGGTCTCAGAAGGCTAGTCACAAGAGATAGCAGGAGATCTTAAATATTCTATAGAGTCAGAGGAGATATAAAGACATATAAAGCAGCTTAGAAAATTTGGTTAAGCTGCTACTAAGGCTTAGGCATATGTGGCACAGGATTGGCTAAGTGTGGGAACTCAGAGGAGATGAGTAATCTTGCTCCCAAGTTTGACTCTCTCCAGGATTCCTACAAATCTAGAATGATGTCCCTCAGTTCTTGTGGGTGTTATCTTGTCCCACCAAGATGGGATCAATGCTCTCTCTTCATGCATTCTTACTGACTTAGTCTTTTGGGGCAACCTACTGTCTTTGATCTTTGGGGAGTAGGAATCAGAATCCTCAGATTCATTTGTGTGGATTTCAGTGATTATTTTGATGCTGCTTCTCTTGAGAGAAGCTGGCTTTAGATATCAGCACTGTGGACAGCAGCCATGGTTTCTCCTTTTACGCAGGAGGTCTCTAAAGAAATGCTCATCTCTCTTAACATACCATTCGCAATTTTAGAATGAATGGATGGAGGAGTGAAAGGCATATTCTCCAGCCCCCCTATTCAGTCTGTACGGATGAGAGATATCATGGTCAGATTACCTTTAGAACTGGACATGTACAATCAACTCTTGCTATTTTGGGTAGCTATGTTCTATAAAGCTGTCACAAGCCCTGAATTAGTGAATGCTGAACCACTGCTTCTAGATAAAATGTAGAGTTCAGTTCCCAAGTGCCGGTGACAACATTTTCATCAACTGATCGATATGTAACGTTTTAAATTTTATGTGTGGTCGTGTTTAAAGTCACCTTATTTAATATATAGTTGATTCAATAACACTGAAATAATGGCCAACAGCACCGTAGAACTCATGCCTGAATAAAGCTTATTTAACACATGTATTTTTTTCAGTAAGGCACATACAACCTTCCTGTGCTTAGAAATATTCGATAGTACTTCAACACTACACTTGAGAGCAAACTCACCAACAAAACAAAAATGTGAAAATTGTGGCACTAAATAGACTGCAAAAAAGGACATGTGTTTACAGTATAAGAGCTGAAACAAGACAGTAGAGTGTTGCCATTTTTGACCTCAGCTGAGACAAGCACAGTGGGTGACTAAAATTTTCTGCTGCTTGGCACATGTCACTAAAGGCACTGCAAGTATTGATTTTAGGGTTACAAATAAATTCTAGTGAGTAGGCAAATTTGCAAATATAAAATTCATGAATAATGAGAACCAACCTATGGGTTGGTTCTTTGTAGCAGGGAGATCCCATAAGCACCGAGGCAGGAGCAAAAAGCCTCAGCCTATTTCCATATAAACAATGAAGAAGAAAGTAACTAGAAATATAACCATAATAGTTATTAATTCTTCATATGTGATCTTACTCATAGATGATTTTAATTCTTTGACTAATGCCTCTCAAGTTGGAAGTGTGAACCTGGGGTGACATTGTGAAATGAATGACACTAAGGCAAGATGCTGTAAGCCCTCTGTCACACCTGCATAAGGGCTGCTGGAGGGTGCCTTGGTTGTGCACCAGTGCCAGTGCTGGGAAAGTGCCCACTGTTTCGCCAGCTAGGGAAAGAGATATGCAAAATAGCTGAGATGTCTCCTTCCCCGGAGGAGTTACTAGAAAACTCTGCTTCTCCAAGCTCTTGTGGTAAGGCCTGATGGCTGTCAGGTAAGCCCACAGACATCCAGGGGCTTAAATTGTCTCTATGTGATAATGTGCTTCAGTGGTCAAGTTCCATGTCTACTCTTATGTTCTGCTTCTGCACCTGGTTCTTTTTGTCTTAGAAAAGATAATCAGTAATAGTAATATAAATCTTAATGTTTTAGTTCTTTCTTGATAAGTATGGAAAAAGTGTTGATGCATTATGCTCCTTACCTCACTTCGGGTGCCAGAAATTCCTGAGCCCCTACCTGAATGACACGCCATGTACTTGACCCTATCACTGCCATGCCCTATCTACCCTGCCCCCAGTCTCTGATGCCCAAGACCACGCCCTACGTATCCTGCTCCCAGATTTGCAACTCAATCAAAGTGAGAGGTCCCAGCGTTTGGGGCCACTGCTGGTCTCCGCAATTTGGGTAGCAGTGGATCCCTGGGCCCAAACTCCCTTTTCTTGGTCTCCATGTCTTACGCCTTTTATTTCTACAATTTCTCATCTCCACACCAGCTGGGAGGGGCTCACAGAACCCTGTAGGACTGGACCCTACAGTTATTCATCTTTTGGATGTTTCCAGAGGTTATGGGAGCTGAGGTCCTTACAATGGTCCATAAGGCCCCGCATGATTTCATTCATTCTCCCTTTTCTTGTGTCTGAGAGTGTAGAGTTAGGCTATTGATTTGAAACATTTTTTCTTTTTAATGTAGGTGTTCATAGCTGTAAATTTCCCCCTAATAACTGCTTAAGCTACATCCCATAATTTTTATATGTTGTATCCTTTTTACTCATCTCAAAGTATTTTTTAATTTCCCCGGTGTTTTTTTTTTTTTTTTTTTTTTTGGAGATGGAGTCTTGCATTGTCACCAGGGCTGAAGTGCAATGGTGTGATCTTGGGTCACTGCAACCTCTACGTCCTGATCTCAAATGATTCTCCTGCCTCAGCCTCCCGAGCAGCTGGGATTACGGTCTCCTGCCACCATGCCTGGCTAAGTTTTTGTATTTTTAGTAGAGACAGGGTTTCACAATGTTGGCCAGGCTCGTCTTGAACTCCTGACCTCATGATCCACCTGTCTCATCCTCCCAAAGTGCTGGGATTACAGGCGTGAGCCACCGTGCCTGGCCAGTGGTTTCTTTTTTGATCCAATATCTATTTGGGAGTGTCTTAATTGTCACATATTTGTGAATTTCCCAATTTTTTTCTGTCACTGCTTTACAATTCCACTCAACTGTGCTCAGAGTACAATGGCCCCCGAGTGTAGTGCAGAAGTGCGATCTAGTATTCCTAAGCACAGGAAGGCTGTATGTGCCTTACCGAGAAAATACATGTGTTAGATAAGGTTTATTCAGGCATGAGTTATAGTGCTGTTGGCCATTATTTCAATGTTATTGCATCAACAACATATTAAATAAGGTGACTTTAAATAGAAACACACATAAAGCAAAGTTACATTTTGATCAGTTGATGAAAATGTGACCAGAGGCTCTCGGGAATTGAACTTTAATTCATCTGGAAGCAATAGTTCACCTTCTCCCCATTTTAACCTGAGGGGCCTAACGCACAGCGGGGCGTGGTGGGGGCTGGTGGGAGCAGGGCTGAATCATGGATCTGGGGGAAGTTACAGATGCAGAAATGATGTCAGCTCTCTGTAGTGCAGTTCCCTTCCTGGTCCTTGCCACACAGCACCTTCTACAGAGACTAGCTCTGTGAATGGCGGGGTCCCCCACAGACCCTGCTGCCCGCCCCCCCGCCATGCTGCTTCTCTGTGCCTGCTTTTGGAGCCCTGACTGGGGAGGGGATGGCTGACCTGTGAGCTGGAGGAGGCTGGGGCGTCTGCCTGGGTCTTTGCAGAGAGCTGCTTATGGGTGTGGTCTGTCCCGACTTGTCGTTTCAAAGGGGGTGGGCATAAGCTAGCAGGCAAAGCATACTCACAGCTGATCAATAACTTTTCTTGTTTTCAAACCATCATGTCTTCATTTCACATTAGAATAAAGTGAGCTTTTGAAACCTGCAAAAAAAAAAAAAAGAAAAAAAAAGCATCAGCAATGGCTCAGTATTCACTAATTCAGTGTTTGTGGCAACTATATAGAACACAACTACTCATAACAGCAAGAATTGGCCAGGCGCGGTGGCTCACACCAGCACTTTGGGAGGCTGACACAGGCAGATCACCTGAGGTCAGGAGTTTGAGATCAGCCTAACCAACATGGTGAAACCCCGTCTCTACTAAAAATAAAAAAATTAACCTGGCTTGGTGGTGGGTGCCTGTAGTCCCAGTTACTTGGGAGGCTGAGGCAGGAGAATCACTTGAACCTGGGAGGTGGAGGTTGCTGTGAACTGAGATGGTGCCACTGCAATCCAGCCTGGGTGACAGAGCTAGACTCTATCTCAAAAAAAAAAAAAAAAAAAAAAAAAAAAAAAAAAAAGACTGTACATGTCCAGTTCTAAAGATAATCTGACTATGGTATCTCTCATCCATACAGACTGAATAGGCTGGCTGGAGAATGTCCCTTTCACTCCTTTATCCTTCTCACTATATGCATTCCAAAATTGTGAATGGCATTTCATGGGGGCTAAGCAACACATTGGAGACCTCTGGCATTGCATGATTTCAATCTTTTTTTTTTTTTTTTTGAGACAGAGTTTCTCTCTTGTTGCCCAGGCTGGAGTGCAATGGGGTGATCTCAGCTCATCACAACCTCCACCTCCCGGGTTCAAGCCAGGTTCAAGCAACTCTCCTGCCTCAGTCTCCCGAGTAGCTGGGATTACAGGCATGTGCCACTACACCTGGCTAATTTTGTATTTTCAGTAGAGACAGAGTTTCTCCATGTTGGTCAAGCTGGTCTCGAACTCCCAACCTCAGCCTCCCAAAGTGCTGGGATTACAGGCATGAGCCACCACACCCAGCAGTTTCAATCTTTTAAAAGTACTTGGTTGGGCTTGTTTTGTGGCCTGTCTTATGGTCTATCCTGGAGCCTTCCATGATTTAGTAATGTTGCCAGAGGACTCAGGAAGGTCTCCCGACGCCAGTGAGACCTCAGCCCCAGCCAGTGGTCAGATTCTTGGCACTGTCAGGAGAAAAAATTCAAGGATGAGTCAGAATGAAGCAAGAAGCTTTTATTACCAAGCAGAAACACACACTTAAGAGAGAAAGGTGGGCGTGCTTGGGAGAACGAGTCTCACACAACAGAGTTTGGGTTTCTAATTCTATAGGTGTCTCTTTAACGAGTGGGTGGAATAATCAGTAGGCATTCTGCAAAAGGAGGGAATTTCAGGGACGCCAATGACTGCCTCCTTTCTCCCTTATGCGTTTGCCTGGAAGAGTCATGGACACATCATCCTGACCGGGGTTTTGGCCATTTTCTCTCCCTTCTTTTGGGTTTTCGGTTATCCTGTGTTTTTTTCCCCTAGTTCTTGTTTGAGCTGTTGTTTGGGTTTTTTTCATCTTCCTGTGATCACTCAGTGCTGTTCCCGTCTCGGTATCACTAAATTCCTCACCAATCAAACCTCACATCCTACTATTCACCCCGTGTTTATTCCCCTCTAGCCACTCTGGCCTCCTTGCTGTTTCGCAAACTTATCCAGGCTTGTTGCTTTCTCAAAGCCTTTGGAGTTGGCTCCACTCTGCCTGGAATGCTCTCCCTCCTGATTTTTGCCTGGCTCCCTATTTCACCTCTTTCAGATCTTTACTCAAGAGTTACCCTCCCAGCAAGCCTTTCATGACCACTTTATTTAAAATTTCAATCCCCTATACATTTTAGTTTCCCTTTCCAGCTTTATTTTCTCCATAGCGCCAAATTCCTTTCTTTTTCAAAAGAAATTTTTGCTTTTAAATATATATATATATATAAAATTTACATTTATAGTATAGGCTTCTTTATTTTCTAACATTTCTTTTTTATTTAATTTTTAATTTTTGCTGGCACATAGTAGGTTCATATATTTATGGGGAACATGAGATGTTTTGATGCAGGCATGCAATGTGAAATAAGCACATCATGGAGAATGGAGTATCCATCCCTTCAAGCATTCATCCTTTGAGTTACAAACAATCCAATGACAATCTTTATTTTTAAATGCACGATGAAGTTATTATTGACTTTAGGCCAGGTGCAGTGGCTCATGCCTGTAATCCCAGCACTTTGGAAGGCTGAGGTGGGTAGATTGCTTGAGCTCAGGAGTACAAGACCAGCCTGGCAAAATGGCAAAACCCCATCCCTACTAAAAATACAATAATTAGCCAGGTGTGGTGGCCCACACCTGTCATCCCAGCTACTTAGGAGGCTGAGGCAGGAGGATCACTTGAGCCTGGGAGGCAGAGGTTGCAGTGAGCTGAGATTGTGCCACTGCACTCCTGCTTGGGCAAGAGGGAGACCCTGTCTCAAAAAAAAAAAAAAAAAAGAAGAAGAAGAGTTATTCTTGACTTTAGCCACCGTGTTGTGCTATCAAACAAGAGGTCTTATTCTTTCTAACTGTTTGTACCCATTAACCATCCCCTCCCCACCCGTAATCCCCTACTACCCTTCCCAGTCTCTGGCAACCATCCTTCTACTCTCTATGGCTATAGAGAGTAGAATTGTTCTAATTTTTAGATTCCACAAATAAGCCAGGACATGTGATGTTTGTCTTTCTGCATAGCATCAATTTCCATCTGGCACACTGTATCTATTACTTGTTTGTTGTCTGTCTTCTTGCATTAGAATGCAGTCTCCTCCAGAGCAGGCATTTCTGTCTTTTGTTCACTGCTCCATCCTCAATGTGAAGAACAGTGCCTGGCACACAATAGAGCTCAACATGTATCTTGTGAGTGAACAAGTGAGTGAAATAATAGAACTAGTTCTGATTTGGGTTACAGTTGTCTCCTCTGTCTCCAGAAGACTATGCTTGAGAAAGAGTTTGCTCAGACAACGGAAATGTAGGCTGGAGGGTTGAATGGGCCAGTCAGAGACAGTTATATTACAATTTGTATAATCTATGTGGGCTAGAACTTGGCTATGAATGATAGACACAGGACCAGCTTCATGGGTATGTGACTTGTGCAGTTGTCCAAGGCCCCATGCTTAGAAGGACCTTGGGCTTGGTTTGATGCTTTACTGTCTTGACATTTTTAGAAATTTTTGAACCAGGGGCTTTGCTCCTTCGTTTTACTTCATTTTTATTGGGTCCTGGATATGCAGATTCCTTGCATTTAGGAACACTGAGAGGCTGGGTGCTGTTGTCCTAGCTCTTTGGGAGGCTGAGAGGTGGAGATTGCAATGAGCTGTGATTGTGCCACTGCACTCCAGGCTGGGCAACAGAGTGCGACCCTATCTCAAAACAAAACAAAACGAAAAAACATTGATAAAGGTGATAATTGCTAGAGCAAACCTTAATAGAATCCAATTGGACTTGGAGCTTTTCAAGGAGGAAGAGAGCTAGCACTCAGTTTGAAAACATGGGCTAGGCAGTTTAGGTTCAGGAGGAAAAAAAAGTAAGCCATAAGCTAACATTCATTAAATTTAAGTTCTATGAGAGCAGAGATTTTGTCTGTACTGGGTAAAAAAAGAAGAAAGACTGTTCAACATATGGTTCTCAGCTTTGTTTTTTTTTCTGTTTTTGGAGACAGGGTCATGCTCTGTTACCCAGTCTGGAGTGCAGTGGCGTGATCACAGCTCACTGCAACCTCTGCCTCCCAGGGTCAAGTGATCCTCCAGCCTCAGCCTCGTGAGTTGCTGGGCCTACAGGCACATATCACCATGCTCAGCTAATTTTTGTATATTTTGTAGAGGCAAGTTTTCGCCATGTTGCCCAGACTGGTCTGGAACGCCTGGGCTCAAGTAGTCACCTGCCTCGGCCTCCCAAAGTGCTGGGATTACAGGCATGAGATAGCATACCCAACCAGCTTTTTCATATGTTAAAAAAATTCATAATAAAAAGTTTAGAAACTAAGAAGTAGCGTAACATATATAGTAATATGTGTAATATAAACATGTATAATATATAAAATATGCTATGCGGTAGTATCAATTACATAATATGTACATTTCTAGGTTTTTTATTCATTTACTGATGAAGATAATCTGTTGCTCCATGATTTGATCAGTAGCTTACCCAACGATCGATTGATCTTTTTACAGTGTTTTTAAGCATCTTTTGGTAAATAATTAATTTAAATTAGCAGGAGGGAGTTTTGCTATTTGAACAGATATTAACGGTTTAATGACACACTCTGTATCTCTCTCTTTTTTTTGAAATGGAGTTTCCTTCTTGTGGCTCAGGCTGGAGTGCAGTGGTGTGATCTTGGCTCACCACAAGGGTTCAAGTGATTCTCCTGCCTCAGCCTCCCCAGTAGCTGGGATTACAGGAATGCACCACCAGGCTCAGCTGATTTTTGTATTTTTTAATTTGTATTTTAGAGATGGGGTTTCTCCATGTTGGTTAGCCTGGTCTTGAACTCCCGACCTCAGGTGATCCGCTAGCCTCAGCCTCCCAAAGGGCTGGGATTACAGGCGTGAGCCACTGCACCTGGCAACTCTCTCTTTTTAAAAACTTTGAAATGTACTTAAATTTCGTTTAATAATATAGTAAGCAACATTTAAATATTAAAATTTTGCTCAATAATCACTCACCCCAGACACAAAAATCTCACCTCATTGTTAACAATTGTGTGTATTCTTTTAGACTTAAAAATTGCTATATAAATATAGAAAACTACACATATGACCTAAGTGGGCTTATATTTTTCTGTAATTTTTTTCACTTAACTATAAATTATGGTAATATTTTCCTGTAAATCCAGAAAGAGGTGTCTTGTTCTTTTTAATGGCCTCACAGTACTTCCAATACCTCTTGGTCTATAACTATTTTTCCTTATCCCATTTAGACAGCAAGCTTTCATGAAAATATGATATAATTATGCAAAAAATTGTTTAAAGTTTAAAGTGAAAAGAACATTTTTGAAGAGATTCCAGGTTTTCTGCAGGCCATGCTAATCGGGTTTCCCCCCCAACTAAATTCAAGACGTTTAAT